GGAAGAAACATCGATGTGAGAGAGAAACATGGATCAGCAGCCTCCTGCACGACCCCCACCAGGAATCCAGCCTGCAACCTGGGCATGTGCCCTGCCTGGGAATGGATCTGGCGACCTTTCGGTTCACGGGACAATGACCAACTAACTACTGGCCAGCGCAGGGGTCTTCATCGAGTGCCCTTGTTTGCCAAAAGAGCCAGTGAGGTTTAGAGAGAAGGGTCTCGTCCGGATCCTACCGAGAGTGAGTGGTCTTCCAGCCCGGTTTGTTGATTTCTAATCTGGGAGAGGCCACCAACGGGGGAGCAAAGAATCCCCAGGGAGAGATGCCGATGCCGGGAAGGCCAGCCCGAGGGTCCCTGGAGTGACCCAGGATGAGGCATGGGCCTGGGGCTCTCCACACCTCCTCGCTGGTCCTCACCCTGGGAGGTCAGGTCATCAGTTCTACTTGACAGATAATAGAAGTGAGGTTGCCAGAAGGTGAGTAGCTCATCTGACACTCAGCTGGTCAGCAGTATCTGAACCCACAGTGGACTCCAAGTTCCTTTCCTGGGCCTCGGAAAAGCAGAGGGCCCTGCTCTTGTCCTCATCCCTGGGAGGCCAGCCCAGGCTCACAGCCCGTGGGCGGAGCGGGTCCCTGACCAACAGCTTACCGCAGGCGAGGAGCGCGGCGAGGACCGTGAAGCTCAGCATGTTGTGCGTGCTCAGGACCGAGTGGCCGTCCAGGCGGGCAGGGCATTATTTATAGGCAGAAGCAGGGTGGCCCACCAGTCAAAGCTGAGCCACCCCTGGGAAAGAAACCTGTTCTTACAAGGTCATTTCCCTGACCTTGGGTGGTTACTGTTTAATTTGGGCAGGAGATAGGGCTGGCTCGAGGCATAGATTTCCCCAAATGACCTGGGACGGAACACACTCTGAGGTTTACAGGTTTTGGGGCCCCCCACCATTCTGCTCAGAGTGTTCTTCTCTCTCCCTAACTCAGATGCGGAAGCCGGGGCGTTGAGCGCTTTGCCGAGCGCTGGACCATATACTTGAAGGAGGAAAAACCCAGAGCCATTGCTTCCAAGCTGTGTGACCTTTTGCTAGTGCCTCAACCTCTCTGTGCTTCCACATCCTCATCTAGAAAATGCTACCTGCCTCATAGGGCTATTGAAGAGTGCCTGGCACACGGCAAGCGCTATCTCATGGTGGCTGGTCTTGTTGCTGTGATCTGGTTCTTATGAGAAAGTCCGAGTCTGGACCATCACTAGGCCCTTTTACCTTTGTGGCAAAAAATATTAAAAATTATGTTTTATGACTGCATGGGTATAAAGACTAATATCATCTAGTTTGGATTATATTAATTTTCCCCTGCTGATTGTAAAAGAAACCAAACATTTCTGTGGACCCTGAAGGTCTTGTGGGCTCCAGGCACTGTGCCCACCGCGCTGCTGGACAGTCAGCCCCGGCTGTGGCCCTCCTCATGCCAGGTTATGTACAGCGGGGAGGGCCTTGGGGAACGCTCGCTGGGTCATCATGAGCACCTGCTCTGGTCCCTGGCGGTGCCTTACCTGTGCCCTGGGCTACTGGGTGGAAAGTTGGGTTTTCACTGGGAGCAACTGGGCAGAGGTCAGAGCTGTCTCTGGGTGTGTGTCAACCTCTCCTGACCTGGCCCCAGTGCCGGGAGCAATGTGCTGGGGACATCGTTACTACAGGGGCTCAAACTACCTGCTATGGTGGTGACACTCGGTTGGCAGACCTGGTTTCCAGGCCATGGTGACCCAGCCTGAAGAAACCGGCCCAGCAGGGAAGGCTTGTGGGTATCTGAGAGGGGAGCCCTGGGGAGTGGCATTTCTGTGATTGGAGGGTGGGGGCTTGGATTAACGTGAGCGCTTAAAGATGTGACTTGTTTGCTCAGACTATGAGGCACTGATATATCCCGTGTACACAGAGGTCATTCATTCATTCATGCATTCATTCATCGATTCATTCATTCATGCATTCATTCATTCTTCCCACATTCGCTGGGCACCTTCTATGTGTAGGTCCTGTGCTAGGGTTGGGACTACAGAGATACTGAGACCCTGTTCAGCATCGTTAGAGCTCCCGGCGGGCAGGGTGATGTGGCCTGTGGGGTGTCCCTGAATGAGAAGTCGGTTCCGGGAGGGGGGGCTTGATGAGGTACAGGTTGGAAATCTTTCTCTACAGATTCCAAAATAAACCTGAGGACTTAGTGAGGATGCTCGACTCCCACCCCACCCTGCTGAACCTTGTGTTTGCCAGGGCTGGAGTGGGGTCTCCGAGGATCTGGGACCTCGGTGTCTCCCAGCCACTCAGGGTCAGACTGTGCTGGAAAAATAACCATAATGACTTGGTGGGGGTGGGGCCAGGAGAGGGGAAACCGCAGGAGCAGCGGTGCAAGGCTGGGGGCGGGGCAGTGGCGAGCGCCTGAAAACCAGCAGGTGCACTGACTGGGGCCCCTATCTGCTAGACGGTCCTGGGACAAACTCTCAGGTGGCAGCTGTTCCATCTCAGGTGAGGTCCACCGAGGGGGCCGGTCTTGGGGCTGGCAGGGTTTCTCCTTAAAATAAGGTGGAAGTACTAGGGGCTCAGAGAGGGTCTGGGGGCTGAGTGAGGGGTTTGGGGACCAGGACTCAGTGAGGGGGGAGGGCTTTTGTTTTTTTTTTAATCCTCACCCGAGGATATTTTTCCATTTATCTTCAGATAGAGTGGGAGGGAGGGAGGGAGGAAGAGAGAGAGAGAAAGATATGGATGTGAGAGAGACACATCGATTGGTTGCCTCCCGCATGACCCCATCCGGGTCTGGGGACCATAACCGAGGTACATATTCTTTGCCGGAATCAAACCCAGGACTCTGGTCTGCAGGCCGACGCTCTAACCCCTGAGCCAAACCCGCCAGAGTGGAGGGTTTTAAGGAGCTGTCTCCCTTGTCACTCTTGGTCCCTGAATCACTTGGGGCCTCTTCATTCCTCAGCTGTGCCCTCTGCCCGGGCTGGGAGTCAGGGGGCTCTAGTGCAGCTGAGGCCTGCAGGTGGGGACCCTGGCATGGGACAGCAGCCCGTCTCACACCCCAGGGTTCGGGGCCCACATCCATCCCCGGGCCAGATTGGCGGGGTGCACGGAGCTTGAATTTTCACCCTTCCCTGTATGGATCCTCTGTCCCTCGGTTCTGAGACCCCTTTCGCTAGGATGTCAGGGATCTGTTCCCCCCCTGGGAAGACCATTGACAGGCTTAAACTAACACGTGTGCGAATGACTTGGCCCCTCAGGCACCAGGTGGTGCGTGGGGGTGGCATTCCCCAGGAAATGCACTCCAAGGACACAGCCGGCTCCAGGCCATGTTTTCCCATCACAGCCGGAAGGGACCTCAGCCTAGGTGGAGGGCATCCTGGCTTCTGTAGTACCACCCATGTCCACCCAGGGGCAGTAGTGCCCAGCCTAAACCCAAAGTCCAAGAAGCCCAGGTTTCGCCTTGGAGAGCAGGGGTGCTCCACCTGGAAACCACAGGGCTGGGAGCCCTTGGGAGCCTAGCTCACCCCTGCATTGAACAGATGTGGAGACAGACCCAGTGTGATGGTGATCAGTCCAGAGACACAGGGAGTACTTGGTTCTTTCCTCATCGGCCCACTACTCAGCCTGTGTGCGTGGCGGGGGCTCCAGGGTACACCCTTCTCCGTGGCTTTGGTGCCACTTGCAGCCACCGTGCTGTGCATCACGGCCCCATGGATGCCCCTCTGAACTGGCTAGGGGTCAGTGGCCCTGGCCTGCAGGGTCCCCCTGTTCTTATCTGGGAAAGAAACAGCAGCCCCGTCAGGGGCTGGTGAGGATGAAATGAATATGTATCAGGTGCTTAGACCAGCGCCCGGTGATAGCAGGTGGACATCACACTCAACCTGTCCCTTTAGCAGGTGTCCCTTCTCCCTGATTTCTGACAACACTCAGGAGCCATCCGAGCACAGGCTCCAGCCAGGCGACCTCGTCCTGTTCCCCCCTTTCATTCCCCTTCCTCCCCACCAACCAACAAGAACCACAGGCACGTAAGAATATAGAATTTTTATCTTATTTTAGTTAAAAAAAATAATTGTACCACCGAATGAAGAAGTAGCTTTCTTTTGGGGTGGGGGGAGTGAGAAGGGAGGGAAAAAAAATAAAAAAGCAATAGGCCCAAGGAAAAAGAACTTTTTATATTCATCTGTGTGAATAGATCCGCTAAGGCAAACGCAATCCGGGGCGGCGCTGGGGTCGGTACCTCCTAGTTTCTGTAGATTCTAAGGCCAAAAAAATAAAACCTCTGCAAGTCTGACGGGATCTTCTCAGACTCTTGGGGAAGTTTACTAAAATAAAGAGTTATCGAGTTCAAAAAGCAGTGACACACCAGAAGTTGCATACCTGCGGCCTCAGCGGCCACTCACTAGTCTGGACTGGGTGACGGCACAGTTTCACAACACGGCAACGCACACAGACACGCGCACACGTGAGCAAGCACATGGGAGCTGCGTGGGACCGGGCCGGCGGCACAGGGAAGGTGGGGTCCCCATGCTTCTTCAGGGGGTAGGTGTGACGGGATAGGTCCCGTCGCTGGTGACAAGGCGGTGAATGTCACTCTGGGGAAGGTGGTGGGAAAGGGCCGGGTGAGGTCCCCTGCTCCCCACTGCCTGATCTGTGCAAACCTCTTAAAGCACTTCTCGGACACCTCCCGGAGAACGGAGATGTCGCTGGTTTCCGTCCCTATGAGGGGCCAGTCCCTCCTCCCCACGCTGCTCTCTCCAGAGCCCCTGGGACCCTCAGGTTTTCCCTGGGGGACCAGAGTGGTGTTTCTGCCCCCAGAGCCTTCCTGCCACGGCTGGGAGAGCGTGGACCCGTGAGGTAGATTGACACAGCTGTCCCCTCACCCTGCCTGGCTGAGCCCCAGAGCGCTGGGGCTGTGTGGGGTGCCAGGGGCCTGGGTCCCTCCACACAAATAGAAGCCTCACCCCCGGCCCCCCCCCCCCCCCCCCGCTCCCCTTGACTCCAGCAGGGAGGAGGCGGGGCTGGAGGAACAGGTGCAGGGTGGGGCACCCTTGTGCCTCCGACCAGCTCCTTAGGTCCCAGTCTATGGAGCCAGCTGAAATCCTTGACATCTGCCGCTCCCCCTGTCTAGGAAGGGGCAGAGCAGCCTGCTGGTTAAGGGCAGGTGGCCTTTGGGCAGGGCGGAGGTGACAGAGAGGCGTGGGGAGGAGAGGGGCGGTGTGGAGGGCGCTCACGGCAGGGAGCAGCGCTGGAGCAGGCAGGGGACAGCCAGGGGTGCGAGACAGGCAGGGACACAGGGCGGGCTGGGCCAGGCAGGGAGCCAGCGCTGGGGTCACAGCTTCAGGAATAGTGACAGAGAGCAGAGAGAGGCCGGGCCACCTCTGTGACCCCCCGACTGGCTGTGTTCACAGACGTTGTAGGTTCTCAGTCCGGTCCCTTCAGACAGAGCCGAGGACTTGGCTCAGCCCCCACTTCGCCCACCCTCGCCCACCCTCGCCAGCTGGACGGGGCTCTGGGCCAGGCCAGGTCGTCGGGGCCACAGCCCCTCGCTACTTGAAGGTGGACTGCAGCTCCTTGAAGGCCGCCTTCCGCTGCTTCATCTCCTCCGCCTGCTTCTTCCTCTCCTCCTGCTCCGCCTTGATCTCCTCCTCGAAGCGGCTGGACACGTTGATGGCCTGGACCTGCGGGGAGCGTGGCTCAGAGCTGGAGGGACCCCTGCACATCCACGTGGGCTTTCTCTGGGGTCCTCCCAGCAATGTCCACACAGCGCCCCTCTCGGTAGCTCCAACCCTGTGCCAGGCACTACGTTCACCTCGTGGAGCCTCAGTTTCTCCATTTGAGCTGATGCTCAGTAGCTCTGACCTCAGGACTCCCTGCTGCATGGCATGGTCCCGCACGTGGCAGCTGCCGATGCTGCACCCTGGCCCCGCTTCCTGTCCCGGGGAGCCCCGCTGCACTGGTCCCACTGATGAGCCCTGAAACATCCTCCCAACCCTAGAAGCCCCGAAGGAGGAGGGAGGTGACCTGTGGAAGAGATGTTCTTAGCTAACCTGGGAAGAGGGAGAAACAAGGAAAGGTGGGTGCCCTGGGGCCCTAGGAGGGCAGGATCCAGGAACCACACGTGTCCCCTCCATCTAGCGTGTGCTGAAAGGGGAAGGTGCCGTGCATGTAGGTGGCCTCTGGGGGGCGTCATACTTCCTCCAGGCTGGGGCTGGCAGGGCTAGTGTCTCCGAGTGGCCCCCAGAGCCATGTGCTTCTGGGCCTGCTCTGCTCCCTCCAGGCCTACCCTACCAGTGGCCAGGGCCAGCTCCAGTGGTCCCTGTCCCTTCTTCAAGAACATCTACCCCTCATCCGCCCCAGGGGCAGCGGGAAAGGATCACAGCCTAGATGGGAGGGGGCAGAGCCAGGAGTGCCATGGCCTACCCAGCCCAGCCCGGGCATCGTCAGCTTCCCATTTCCTGTCTGCTGCCTCAGCAGGGCCAGGAAGGGTTGGTGCTGACCCTGGAGCTAAGCCAGGGTCCTATTATACCCCGCCACCCCTGTCCTTGAGCTGGGGTCAGGGCACCCCATATGGGTTCCGCACATCCTTCCATTCCTTACCTTGGCCTCAAAGAAGCTCTTGGCCCCCTTGACGCCCTCGGTGGAGACGTCGATCTCGGACAGGCGGGCCAGCACGTGAAGCCCGCTGTCCTCCTGCAGCTCCCCAGCCGCCGCCTTGCGGAATATCAGGAGGAACTGCAGCGGGGAGAAAGGCAGGGGTGTCAGGGCGAGAGGGAAGAGCCGGCGCCCCTGGCTGCACCCAGGCCCAGCCTGGACTCCCTGGGAATAAGGAGGGGCACTCATGGGACAGGGAGCCAGAGGTCTGTGTCCTCCCTTTCCTCTGTGGGCCTTGATCTGCCCATCTGTACAATGGGAGACTAGGGGACCGGCTCCTGCCCTCCCAGGATCTGGGTCTATGGAGAGCCTGCTCTGTCCACACTCAGCTCCCATCAAGAGTCTTGATGACACAGCTCAACCTCTTAACTCTGTCTCCAGTGTTCCCCAGCCAAATTCACTCTACATTCCACTTACTGAGTCTTAACGGTGCGTGACTGTGCCCACTTTACAGAATGAAGACGGTTCAGGGACAAGAAAAAACCTGCCCACGTCTCAGCAACAGAAATTGACAGAAGGATGTGAACCCATGTCCTGACCCCAAACCATTATTATTATTAAAAAAAAAATTTTTTTCTTTATTGATTTTAGAGAGAGAGGGAGGCAGAGGGAGAGAGAGAGAACATCGAATGGCCGCCTCCTGTATGCCCCTCACTGGGGATTGGGCCCACAACCTGGGCCTGGGCCCTGACCGGGAATTGAACTGGTGACCTCTTGGTGCATGGGCTGATGCTCAACTGCTGAGCCACACCGGCTGGGCCCTGACTCCAACCCATTATCCTTACTGCCTGCACCTCTCTCTCGCCTCCTCTATGCTTCCGGCTAGCTCTCCAAGGCCTGGTGTGCCTGGCACTTAACCCTGTGCTGCCTGGGGCCCAGTGCCACTGCCTCGGGCTACGAGCCTGTTTTCTCCTCCACAGGACAGGCTGCCCGTGGACCCAGTCTCTGAGAGACCCCGAGTGCGACGTGCCTCTGGCCCAGCTCCTGTAGGACCCCAGTGCATGTTGCTCTGGTCCCTCTCCTCCCGAATCACAGCATTGTGTCCTTTCACTCTGGCCTCGCCCACTCTGCACTCTGGGACCCAAGGGGCACTGGCTTGCACTGCACCCCAGAGCCCACACAGGGTCAGGTATACAGAAGCCACCCCGTCAGTGCTCACTTCACGAACATTCCTCTTCTCACTTAAGGCGACCCCCAATGCGTTCAAGGACAATGTCACTCAATGACAAACGGGTGTCAGTCTCACCTCCCGGAAGCTGAGCTTGCTGTCAAAGTCCTCGTCCACCTCCTTGATCATGTTTTTCAGGCCCAGGTGAGTCTGGGGGGCTCCAAGTTTCTCCATCATGAGCTTTAGCTCCATCAGGTCTATGAAGCCATCCCGGCCGGCATCGTACCTGTGGGCACAAGGAGACAGGCCTAAGGACATCCTGATACCTCATACTGTACCAGTCAGAGCAGTCACAAGCTGGAGTACCAGGGCTCAGAGGGTACCTCCCACCAACATGTCATCCTGTCACAGCTGAAAGGGACCTCAGCCCAGGCGGAGTGCTGATCTGTGGTCCAACTGCTTGGTCACTTCTGATGATGGGGAACTCACTCCATAGCCTGGTAGCCTCCTACATGTTAGACTACTGTTTGGGACAAGCCTGCTCTATAAGGAAGCTAAAACCATAGCCTCTGTACTGAATGTGACTTGAACAAGCAGAAAGAATTCACAGTAGCATCGAGTATGGATTGGGAGGGTGGGCTCTGATGCTAGCACTCACTGGCCATCTTCAGGGGCACTCGAGGGACATCTTGTCCCATCTCTCCTACTCCCTGCCCCACCCAGGAGGGAGGCAGAAGGTACCACGTGTGTCGCAGGGCAGGACCAGAGGTCACAGGAGGGAGGGCGGCTTCTGGTTGTCCTGGAGGCAGCTGGGGCGTGTGCAGGGTGCCTGCAGGGAGCAGTGGGGTACGGCTGGGTGGCTGGAAAGGCCTGGAACAGTGACTAGGTGATGACAGTGTCTCCGCCCTGCACATTTCAGGTCTTTTTTCTACCACCAAGCGCCCAGCAGGGACAGGATGGGGCGGGGAGTGGAGTCTAAAGGTCCTTCTCAACTGGCCTCCTTGCGCAAGAGCCGGGTCGGAGCTGGCCTCCGCACCGTCCCCTGGCTCAGAGGTGCTGCCCGTGCCTGGGGCGCACAGCTCGGCAGATGTGGGTGTTGTCCCCTGGGCCCTCTCATCAGGCTGGGCAGACAGGCTGGCAACTGGTCTCAGGGCTGGGAAAATGGGCCTTCTGCGCCCTAAGAAACCTCAAGCAGTCCCCAAGGCCTCAAGCTGGCTCGCTGAATGACAGCAGTGTGACAGACGGGCTGAGTCCCAGAAACCTATGTCCTGGAGATTGGAAGTTTCTACCAAAACACATATCTCATTCCTCTGTGCTCGGGGCTCCCCAATCCTTGTCTTCTCTAGTTATGCATGAGCTTCACGTGACCTTGAAGCTCTTTCTGAAACCTGTCCTTGTGCTAGGAACTTTATGTACTTTATTCTACTTAATCCTCAAATAAACTGATTTTATAACGGAGGCTCAGAGAGGTTCAGTGACCCGCCCCAGGTCACAGAGCAGTAAAGGAAGGATCTGCGCTATCCTGCCCTCCCCCATGTCCCGGGGCTGCCTGCAGATCAGAGACGTCTGCCTGGGGCGCTGAGCAGAGCATTTGCGCAAGGGGTATAAATAGTTCACAAGCAAGTGAGTCAGTGGTTGGAAATGATGCGACGCAGGGAGGACAGGTCTCTGGGAACCCTGCAGGGAACACAGGATCCTGAGGCCTTCTCCCCCACCGTGGGAGGGCCGGAGTGAGGACAGACAGGCCAGAGGTCCCTGTGGGCAGTGGCTATAGCTGGGCCAGAAGCAGATGCGAGAGAGTGGCAGAGGGTTGTGGGATCTGGAAAATTAGGCAAGCCTATGACCCAAGGTCCAGGCTCTACTTAGGGCTGGAGGAACCCTGAGGGGGGCAAGGCAGAGGTCCCCCTTCCATCGCTGGAGCCTGTTTGCCAGTTGGTAAGGGGTTCCAGTAGCTTGTGCCATTTGAGCCTCCAGCCATGGCTGAGACCCCCTGCCGTAATGGCAACTCCCCTGGGGTCACCATGAGGATGGAGTTCGCATGTGTCCAGCACCGAGCACAGCGCCCGGCAAGTCGAGCCGGCTCCAGAGATGGCAGCTGCCACCACTATGCGATGGAGTCACCTTTATTAAGCTCCTACTATGAGCCAGGCATTTTCTCTCTATAACCTCTGCGCTCAGCCATCCTGGGGGGCCAGCAGCATGTCCCCGCATGACGGAGGACAGAACAGGGTTGCAGAGGTGAGGGCACTGGCCCGATAACCAGCAGGCCAGGGATTCGCACCCCGTTCCCCAGGGTTCCCACACTCGCTCTCTGCCGCCCATCCCTCTCCTGAGCCCAGCTTTATTTATTGTTCAAGGCTTTATTCCGAAGCCAGGGTGGCTCAGATTCAGAGGAAGTGCAGATAAAGTGTCTAAACTTGGACGGAAACTCGGGCTCTGGATTTCTTGTTCTCTGGCAGCTCCGGGGCTCGGCTGGGCTGCAGCCTAAACCACGGCTTGAACCGCCGCCTGCATCAATCAAGGGTCGATCAATTACTGGGTCTGGGCTCCATCCTGGGCAGGCTTCAGCCCTCAGGGGGCGATGCAGGCGCTGGCCGCAGTGCCATGGATCAATAGCCAGGGGGAGTGAAGGAGGTCAGGGAGAGGCCAGGTGCCAGGGTGGGAGGTGGGCCCCCAGGGGTGACGCTGGATAAGGCTGTCCCCATGAGATCCCCGGGGGAGCAGGCATCCGCCATGTGCCCTGGGCTCCGATGTGGGTGGGCTCTGGATCACTGGGCCGGCCAGGTACCAGGGGTAACCTGAGGATGACCGCGAAGGTTTGTGCTCACATCCACTCTGCTGAGACTGACCTGGGTCCAAACCTCAGATCTGCCACCTGCTGGCTTGGTGACCCTGGTCGAATTACCTGTCTCTGCAAACCTCAGGTTTCCATCTACATCACAGATGTCAAAGGACCCATGTCGGGATGGAGGAAAGGACTAAGAGAGATCCTCAGCACACATCCTGGCCCATCACAAGCACTCACTACACACTAACCATAAGAGAATAAAAATACATTGTTATTGTTAATATCTACCTTTCGGATTAAAGATGAAATGAGATGATGAACTGCCTAGTACAGAGCGGGTGCTTAAAAGCTGCTGATTGCATTATAATCACAGTGGCCACGGAGAACTTCTGCTGTGCCAGATACTATGTTAAGTGCTTTACACATAACGGTGACAATAACAATAATAAAAGTCCCCTCTCTCACAGGGAGGGAAGCGACAGAGGGGAGACTGTCACCGGGCGGTGGACTGGCCACAGGAGAGAAGGGTGCTCCAGGCTGCCGGAAACAGGCACACCCCTGGGTGGGGAGGGCCTCTCACCCATCAGCCTCTCCCTGAGCTGGAACTGAGGCTGCAGGTGGCTCAGAGGACCTAGGGACAGAGTTGGCACACGAGAGCCATCTGGATAGCCTGGCCAGCCGCTTTCATGTTCTGTGGGGACCCTGGGGCCCGGAGTGGGCAGTTACCAGCCCAGGGTCATACAGTTGGCAGACTGCAAGATTCCGAAATCTTTTCTCCCTGCCTGCCTGCCTCCCTCTTCTTCCCGGTCCCATGGAAGGTCCCGAATTCTCAAGCGTGCAGGGCTGGGGGAGGCTGGGCTGAGGGCCCAGCTTGGGGCCCGCCTGTGAGGGCCAGTTCCGTCCGGCGGGACTGGCAACAAAGCTCCCGGGCTGGGCGCTCAGCACTTTTCTCCAGCACTGGAGGGAGGTGGCCGCACCTGGCACCATGCCCACATTCCTACCCGCCTCCCCCTGAATACTTCTCAACAAGGGAGGCTGGGCAGCTGCTGCCCCGGATGCTGGTGACAAAATCCCTCCCATCCAGTCCTTGAAAGTAGAGCAGCGGCCACCACCCAGGCAGACTTTGCCCTTTGGGAAGAGCAGGTCCCACCAGCTGGCTGTTCCTCTGCCCCCCAGTTCTGATAACCAGGGGTCATGGGGGTGGGCAGTGGCTGGCTCCTATAAGGGGCAGCATTGTGCCCATTTCATAAGAAGATTTTTAGTGCCTCCTTTTTGCTGAGCCCATACCTTGTGCCCATAACACACATGAGGAGACTGAGGCTCAGGGAGGAAGTGACTTGGCCAAGGTCACAGTTCACAAAGACGTAGCTGGGGTCCAAACCCAGGCCTGATGAAAAACACACACTTTTGCCCGGCCGGTGTGGCTCAGTGCTTGAGCGTTGACCCAGGCACCAAGATTCCCGGTTCGATTCCCAGTCAGGGCACATGCCCAGGTTGTGGGCCTGATCCCCAGTGGGGGGCATGCAGGAGGTGGCCCATTGATGTCCTCTCTCATCGATGTTTCTATCTCTCTCTCCCTCTCCCTTCCTCTCTCTAAAAACCAATAAAGAAACAATTTAAAAACGCACACACACTAAAACACACACTTTCAACTATTATGCTATGTCCTGATGCCTACAGACCCTGTAGCAGAGAACCTCAGGTTGCGGGGCCAGGGGGGGGGGGGGGGGGCGAGAGACACTGGAGGCCACCTCTTCTAGGCATGCGTGAGGGTAAGATGTAGTTTTCCCACTTGCTGTCTTAAATACCACTGAGGATGGGAAGCTCCCTGCTTCCCTTCCTTCGCAGCCCATTCTGGCTTCGGAACTGTCCAGTAGAAAGTGGATCCTCACACACCCTCCCCAGCGTCAGCCGTGCAGTCCAGTCCGATGGCAGGATGAGGAGTCATCCCAGCCACAAGGGAGGGGAGGAGCAGTTGGTATGGGAGCACAGGGGGCCCTGATTCTGCCCCTTCTGATTCCCATCCTAGGCCTTTGCTGACGGCCCCTCTGCTCCTGGCAGTTCCCAGGGGGACAGACAGCTGGAGGGTGGTGTTTATGGGCCCAGGACCCCCCAGGCCCACCTGGCTTTGGTCTCAGCATTCACAGACCTGGTCCTCCCCCATCCCGTCTGGGGAGGCCCCAGTAGCTCCTAGGCCTCTACTCTGTCCTTGGGGGCAGGAATGAGCTGTAAGACAGAAAAATTCCAGTGCTGGTAGCTGTTATAGCCAGCTTGGCCCTGCCTGCCTTTCCCCAGGAGGGCGGATGCCCACAGGCTGGGTAACGACTGCTTGGCAGCACCCATCCGTTCCGCACACCCCCACGGAGACTGCCTGACTCATGCAGGGAAAGCCCAGCTGCTCACCACTTCCTCTAGTCCTATCTGCAGAATCTGAAATGTGACCTGTTGCCCTGAGTCAGCCAAGGGCGTGTGTGCAAGAGCGTGTTGCTCCGAGGATC